CAAGGTATGGGTGGGCCAACATTGTGGCGAATGAGTACTATGGAACATTTAGTTATGCTCTTAAAGAACCTGTACACAGGCCAAGAGGAAGTTGCTCGACTGGAAAAAGGGAACATTGAATGGTTTAAAATTGGCTAAGTTGTTAATCAGGTTTGTATTCTTTTGCCACACATATTCAATCTGTATGCTGAGCAAATAATTCAAGAAGCTGGATTATATGAAGAAGAACGTGGCAACAGGATTGTAGCAAGATTCATTAACAACCTGTGACACGCAGATGATACAACCTTGCTTGCTGAAAGCAAAGAGGACTTAAAATACTTACCGATGAAGATTAAAGACCACAAAACCCTTGTTATGTTAGGGGTTGCACCTTGATGTAAACAAAATAAAGATCCTCACAACTGGACCAATAAATAACATCAAGATAAATGGAGAAAAGACTTTATTATGCTTGAATCAACCATCAACAGTCATGGAAGTAGCAGTCAAGAAATCAAAAGATGTACTGCATTAGGCAAATCTGCTGCACAAGACCTCTTTTAAGTGTTCAAGAGCAAAGATTTCAGTTGGCGGACTAAGGGACACCTGACTCAAGCCATGGTATTTTCAATAACTTCATATGCAAGCGAAAGTTGTACAATGAATAAAGAAGACTGTAGAAGAACTGGTGCATCTGAGTTATGGTGCTGGAGGAGAATATTAAAAGTAATGTTAACAGTCAAGAAAAGAAACAAATCTATATTGGAAGAAGTACAGCCAGATTGCTCGTTAGAAGCAAGGTTGGCCAAACTTAGTCTCTCATACTTTGGATACCAAGAATTCCACCAACTTCTCCAGTCTAAAACTGATCAGACTTTCAATTAAGATGTATTGGTGATTGGAATGTAAAGGTTGGAAACAAAGAGAAAGGGTTGGTAGTTAGACAATATGGCCTTGGTGATAGAAAAGATATTAGAGACTGCATAACAGAATTTTGCAAGACCAGTTGCTTACTCATTGCAAATACTGTTTTGATTTTTTTTTTTCTCCCAGTAAGAATTTTCATTTTATTACTCAAATACTGTATTTTCAATAACATGTCTGGAATAGAATGGCCAGGCAACTATTTGCTTTTTAAGCACTTTATCTAAATCACTGGCCAACTCAAAATATACCTAATTATGGCATTCACTTAAAAACACACCCCAAAATCCTACCTAACATTTCATTTCACTTTTTCTCAGGTAGGAGGTATATGTCCACTGGCACCCACTTGAAGATTATGGTCAGGGCTAGTGTAGTGTTATGGGTTAATGCACTGGACTGAAAAGTTGGTCCAAACTAAAGGTTAGCGATTCAGGCTCACCAGCTGCTTCTTGGAAACCCCACACAGGGTCGCTATGGGTCAGAACCGACTCGATGGCACACAACAACAGCAGTCTAAAACCAAGCTTGTCCATTTAATACCCTACATTGCCCAGCTTTACACCAAATACCTGGAATACATGTGCTACTAACAGCCAGCAAATACTGTTTTAAACAACATAAAGGTTATTAAGCACCTGGACCTCACTGGGTGGAATACACTATAATCAAACTGACTACAACTGTGGGAAGATGGTAAAATGTTCAAAATCATCAGCTAAAACAAGGCCACAGCAGACTGTTGAAGAGGCCATCAATTGCTCATATACAACTTTAGGTTGAAGATGAAGAAAATTATAAGTCCACAAGAGCCAAAATATGTCCTTGAACATATTCCATCTGAATTTACAGACCATCTCAAGAACTGATTTGATCCATTAGACATTAATGACTGAATACCAGAAAAGCTATGGGATGACATGAAGAATATCATAGGTTATTAAAGAGACAGGAAAGAAAGAAAAGACCAAAATGGATGTCAAAAGAGACTCAAACTTGCTCTCCAGCACAGAGATGCTAAAATGAATGGAATAAATGGGGAAGTAAAACAGCTGAATAAAAAAATTCAAAAGGCAGCTAGTGATGACAAAGATAAATGGACTATAATGAAATGTGCAGAAACCTGGAGTTAGATAAACAAAAGGAAAGAACATGTTTAGCATTTCTCAAGTTAAAAGAACTAAAGGAAAAATTCAAGCCTCCATTGCATTACTGAAGGATTCCAAGGGCAAGGTAATGAACGATGCAGAAAGCATCAAAATATGATGGAAGATATACACCAATATACAGAGTCAATGTACCAAAAAGAAATGGTCAAAGTTCAACCATTTCAAGAGGTAGCAATATGATCAAGAATCAATGGTAGTAAAGGAAGAAGTCCAACCTGCACTGAAGATATTGGTGAAAAACAAAGCTTTGGGAATTGATGGAACACAAATTGAAATATTTCATCAAAATGATGCAACACTCAAGGCACTCATTCATCTATGCCAAGAATTTGGAAGACAGGTATCTGGACAACTGATTGGAAGAGATCCTTATTTGTGCCCATTACAAAGAGAGGTGACCCAATGGAATACGCAAGTAAAATTTTGTGATAGATAAAATAAAAAAATGGCTCAAAAGCACATTCACAGGAACTGTCAGATACTTAAGTATGATTCAGAGGAGGATGTGGAACTAGAGATATCATTTCTTACATCAGATGGCTCTTTGCTGAAAGCAGAGAACACAAGAAAGATGTTTTGTTGTAGTTGTTGTTAGGTGACATCAAGTCAGTTCTGAGTCATGGCGACATGACAAAACACTGCCCTGTCATTGCTATGCTTAAGCCCATTGCTGTGGTCACTGTGCAAATTCACTTTGTTGGGGACCTCCTTTTTTTTGTTGACTGTCCACTTTACTAAGCATGATGTCCTTCTCTAGGAACTGGTATCCTGATAATATGTTTGAAGAATGGACGTAAAAGCTGACCATCTTGGCTTCTAAGGAGCATTCTGGTTGCATTTCTTTCAACACAGATTTGTTGGTTCTTCTGGAAGTCCATGGTACCTTTAGTATTCTTTTCCAATACCAAAACTCAAAAGCATCAATTCTTCTATGGTCTTCACATACATATTGTTGTTTTGTTATGTTTTTGTTATGGAGTCGGTTCCGACTCATAGCAACCCTGTACAGGGTTTCCGAGGCTGTAAATCTTTACGGGAGCAGAAAGCCTCAGCTTTCTCCCGCAGAACAGCTGGTAGTTTCAAACTGCTGACCGTAAGATTAGCAGCCCGATTAGGCTACTGAAAATGTTATGCTTCTTATAAGCATACATTAAATATGTTATCAGGTGGAACCAGTCCTAGAAAAAAATATCCTCCTTGGTAAACTATGCTGTTGTAAACCATCAAGTCAGTTCCAACTCATAGGGACCCTGTATAGGGCTTCCAAGGAGTGGCTGATAGATTTGAATCACCAACCTGCGGTTAGTAGTTCAGTGCTTATTCTACAGTGCCACATTAGTGAAAAAGAGAAAGATATTCAAAGAGATGAACTGAAACATTATAGCAATGAGCTCAAACATAAAAATTATTAGGATGGTACAGGCCAGGGCTGTGTTTTGTTCTGTTTAGAATTTCTACATGTTGGAACTAACTTGATGCCATCAAACCACAACAATGATTTTGTATTAATACTTTTTGTCTTACTCTTGTATATGCTGAGGAAGACAGACTTAGCATTCCAAAATTTTGCATTTCTAGTAATTATGTTTTTGTTGGCATAAGCAGTTTGTGATCAGTTGCTAACTTAAAGGTTGGTGGTTAGAACTCATTCAGGGGCTCTGTAGAATAAAAAGCCTGGCGAGGTGCTCCCATACAGACTCAAGACAAGAAAACACTATGGAGCAAGCTGATCTACTCTACAGTACAAGGAGTCACCATGAGACAGATGGCAATAGGTTTGGTTACTGATGTAACTGGATCTGACAATCACCACTGAAGGATGTGGAAAGCCTGTACTGCAGATAAGCTACTAAGCAATTTTAGCACCAAATAAACTGAACTTGAATTGTGTGTCTCTTGATGAGATGAAATACAGACTAACACCTAAGAAGTACTCTTGACAATTCTTCCACCTACCTGACTCCCTCAAAATAAATAAATAAATAAAATAAATAAATAAAATTCCTCTAAATTTGATGAAGGCTCCAAACGTAACTAAAAGTTTAGAAGAAATACAGTGGATAGAGTAACATTCTGAACAACACCAGGGGATGGTATTAGCAAAATACAGACATTGAAAATTGAATATGATAGTTTTTCCACCAAAGAAATACAAAATTTAAAAAAGTTATACTGAAAGGCAAAAATGTTTAAATTTAAACAGACTTGATGCATGGATCTTATATAATTCCTAATCTGATAAAAAAAAAACATTTAGGAGAAAACTGGGGCATTTTGGATAATGATGTGATATTTTATGATGCAAGTAACTACTGCTATTTTTTTAAGGTATAATAATGATCATATGGTTTAAAATAAAATAGTACTTATTATTGAGAGATACATATAGAAGTATCTAAAGATGATAAAATGTTTGGGATTTGTTTTAAATTATCTGGGCTGTGAGGATGATGTGGTATACCGATACAACATGATTGAACATCAGTTGATAATTGTTGACTACCTACTGATAAATGGGGATATATTATATTACCTTATATTTACCATGTTAAACATTCACTCTAATTAATGTTTTAAAAATTCCTTGATATTATTTTTATACATAAGTGAAATATATCCTTTCTAATAAAATTTATAACATTTTTTAATTGACAAATAATTTATAAATGGGAATGGAATGAATTATCAAACAAACTGATAATTTAAAATGTGAGATTCTTATGCTGATAAATAAGAACAAAACAATGATTTATTATATCTAGCACTTTCTCCTATTTTTCCAATGCCATCAATTTATTTCAAGATAATAATATTTGTCTTTAACATTCAGTTTATTAAGAAACAAATATAAAGTTAAAAGCTAGGGAATAAAACCACATTATTCTTTGACACTTGAAAACATTTTCATATTTATGTGCAACTCACCTGCTGTAAAATCTTCAGTCAAATCAATAAATGCATGAGAATGAGGAATTCGCAGTTTACTTTTTGTGTTCAATGCAGGATGCCATGATAAATTCCTAAAAAAAAAAAGGAAATAATTTTCTAAATGCAAACATGAAATAAGCATTTTTTAAAGACAAAAAATCTATAAATGTAAAATACCATAAAATTTGTTTGAGATATATTATATAAAACATATATAAATTACAAGTATACAATTTAGTGATTTTCAGTATATTCATAGCACACATCCATTACCACTATCTAAACAGACAACAATTTCATTGTCCTTATTAAGAAATCCCATAGTAGCAGTCACTCCCTGTTTCCAAGCCCCTCCCTAACCCCTAAGCTTTCAGTTGATTTTTTTTTTCTTTTTACTTATAGTGAGCCCATGTATATAAGAATTGAACTGCACTCCACAGGTTTGTTTTGTTTTGTTTTTTTTAAGTTTTATTGTGAACTGATTGAAAGTTTACATGCGAGAACAAAGGCTTTACACCATCTTTTTACTGTAATGATTACAATCTCCTCCATGCATCATCATTCAACAGTGCTTGCTTCCATTCCATGGTTGTTCTTGTTTTTGGGGGAGTAGTAGGAAATGTACACAGAAACACTTAGGGATACATAATAATTTTTTTTTTAAAGTTTTAATTGTGAATTATGTGTTAGATTTGATGGATGAACATTATCTTTACATTAATGCTATTGTATTTTGTTTCATTGCAAAGATCACAATCCCCTACATGCATCATTAAACAAACAAAGGGTACACCCCACATACCTGTCCCCCGGCTGCCAGCATACAGCCCCTCTCCCTCCCTGAGTCCAGAGTCCCCAGCCATTCCTTCTGTCCACCTCATCGTCTCTGCCTCCATCCCTAGTGTCACTGACTCCCTGGACAGGTTTCGCACTTCACTTTTCTCCCTTGATGGTTACAGAGATCTCCATTCCTGGACTGTAAAAATCCCCTCTTTTGTTACCAAACAGTTACATTTACTTTTCCAATACTCACTGTCAGACTTGATAGCACTCATTCCCTATTGAACCACAGGAGTCCTTTCCCCCTCACCTTTTATCAACCCCCTCCAGACAGGCTGGAAACAATTCAGTGGAGATTCTACCTTTCCATGCATCCTCTGGAGCTAGGTTTCCTATTGAAAGCTTGTAAGCCAGTCACTTCTTGCCTTTGTAGTCCCCCAATTTTGGGTAGCCAATGTCTAAGTTCCCCATCCCTGTGGATCCTGTGTACCAAGGGGGTGGGAATGATCCTCACTGTAGAGATTTGTCTGCTCCTTTGTCATACTGCATCCACTTATAGTAGATTCACTTACAGTGGGTTACTCCATTTTTTTCTTTCTTCCTCTAGTCATGTTCTGATCATCCAGCCATTGATTCCAAGTCAAATGAGTACTATCTGCCAGTGTGGGTGTTCTTGTGCATCTCCCCTCAGTTTATATCAACTGAATGCTTCACACTTTTTCTAGTCCTCTGGGGCCATGTCCCTGCCTCAAGGCCCAGGGTCCTCAGGTCGCGTCATATTGCTGGTTAACCAGGTCTCAATCCAGGTTAACAGGCGTCTATTGAATGTCGTCGGACTTAGTTCACAACTTCATTTCTGTTTTCCCCCCACTTCCCCTTATCAGTGACCAACATGGTTAGCAGCAGGACCATATGCCTGCTAGTGTATTCCATATGAGTTTCAGTCTTAGAATGGGGTTTGCCTTGGGGTGGCCTTGATCACTTGCCTTGATGGCTCCCTGGAGAAAAACTTGCTTGTTCTTGAAGTAGTCAATTGAACTGCTGTTACTGTTTTTGATTTTTTCTGCTGGTCTTTCTTTCAAGAAGAATCTTCTGTTCTTCTAGCTGCTTCAGACTGCTGTACTTGTCCTTTCAAGTGGAAATGTCCCACCTCAGAAGATTCTGGATGGGGATCAGAATTCCACCTATGGTCTTGTGCA